CCTGGAGTCACCAATAGGAAGCCAGTATTAGGAATTAATGTGGGAACCGATCGGGCCATCACGTGGTACGGCGCCAGGCAGCCGGAGAAGGGCGGAGTACCGGGCGGGGACGAAAAATTTGATCGACTGCGGGTGGGAATTTCTCAGAAAAATGGCTGCGACTAGCCCGAAACCGAGTTTCTGTGCATTCTGGAGTCAGTGTGTGTGGACTTTGGGAGTCCCTGGCCCCTAGAGCCGCTTCAGGAAAATGCGATGAAATTTTTCGTTAAACAGAGAAACGACGTGTTTGCGTGTCTTCCTACAGGCTATGAGAAGACCGAGATCGTGAAACAGTGCAGAGCAAACGAAAACGGCGGGTTGACGACATTCTTGTGCTTTGTTGACGATGTTGACTCCTGTCAAATTATCGATACTAGTACTTAATTGCTGGAATCTAAAATGTTACTGGGTTCTCCTAAGCGGGAGTTGTTTATTGTTTTGATCGGTAAAACGCAGGGTAAAATACGCTAGAAATTAATTACTTTGTGGGTAAAAGAAAACTCACGCCGAGGGCGAGGTCCACACTTCCGGGTTCAGCGACGACAAAATGACGCAAAAAACGCTAACAATCCGCATAGAAGTATATAATTTCCCGACTGATTCTTGAAACTATGCATTTCTTCACTAGAATATCGATGTGTGGTTGTGGAAAATAGCATTTTAGCGCTTATATCGAAGAAAGAAAAAGTTGTTTACACGCGCGTCGGCTCGGTCAATCTTCAATACCGCCGGCGCTGCCGGAAGCGGACGCTTCAACTAATCAGAGATGCGAAATGTGGACATAGCCGAGTGAAAATCGTGACGTAAATACAAATCCGTGGATGAGATTCTTTTCTCTCGGTGTGACTCCCATTTCCCACGAGGAAGTTCCAGAAACTTTGGAAAATAGAAACAGATTCGACTCGCGAGCGGGTGGCCGCGCCTTCCTCGGCCAAACTTCAATTTTGGGACATGAAAGGCGCGCCGACGTCCATCACTGGTTAGCGACCGACAGGCCCATAGCAACCATCTCTGTTGGGTGCCGCACCGTCTGAGGGCCGTTCGTGACGTTTGCATCTCATTAACCATATATGGCAGACCAGGGCCGTCGACACACCGCCAGCTTTACGCGTGCTTGACATCAAGCTTTTGGGGGGCGGCAACCTAGGGCGGCGGCCGCCAGGAGCGCGATTTAGTCAGGCTAGGTCTGCCGAGGCGATGGGGACTTGGCGCAAAATCCGTGGAACAGACGATCGATGTGAAGAAACGCGACGAAACTGTAGCACAGGGGCGCGCAGAAACCAGTTGAGCCGCTGGACGCACATAACGGAGGTCCGTAGTTCTGGTGTAGAGGTCAAGATCCATGGCGGAATAATCAACTTACGTGGAACGCGAACGTCTACACAAAGAAACAGTCAGAGAGACGGGAATCCACACGAGCAGAAGTACAGGGTGAAGTAATCCAGTGACCAGCGGAAGAAGTCGAGGGGAAATTGTAACTACACACGCTTGGGACAAATGTGATCGGGAGCCAAACAAATGTGACCGTACAGAGAAAGGTTGAGCCACGAATGACCCTTACGAGGGTTAGGGAGGAAGGGTCAGAGGGTAAAGGGGCGGAATAATTAGTATCAGGGTAGGGGTCACGTGATTGTCTGTTCAGCCGACGGGAAACGAGATAAATCCTTAAACCTGAGCTTAGGCCTTCCCCTTGGTCGACTCCCTTGAGAGAGTTCGCCGTACAGTATTTTCTTGGGAAGCCTGTTGTCGTCCATCCTGGCCACATGGCCTAGCCAGCGCAACCTGTTTCGCCGCAGGATCTCAAACAAGGACAGTGATCCTGCTTGCTGGAGAACTAGCTCATTTGTGATTTTGTCCTGCCATTTTATGTTTAAGATCTTCCGCAAGCAGCGTAGGTGGAAACTGTTGAGTCTTTTTTCTTGTCTTGAGTAGACTGTCCAAGCTTCGCTGCCATATAATAAAGTCGACAGTACACATGTGTTGTAGACCAGTACTTTTGTCTTTTTTGTCAGCTTTTGATTTTCCCACACTCTTTTACTTAGTTTTCCAAAGGAAGCAGCAGCTCTGCCGATCCTTACATTTATTTCCTCGTCCAAAGAGTGGGTGCTTGTCATCACTGATCCCAGGTAGGTGAACCTGTCAACTGTTCGGAGGGGATTTCCGTGCAGTGTAATCAAAGGTGGGACGGGAGTACCTTGCCCCATTACCTCTGTTTTAGGGGTTGTATTACAGTGGATGTAAATCATTACTAAGTCAGTAGTTTTACAATAATATTTTGAGAGTGAATCAGAATCATTTGTCTGCATTGTCTGTATAAATAAGTAAATTAATTAGGTATAACTAAATGAAATATTTTCTACTTACGGAAGATAATTTCTGCCCCGGGAGAGAAGTAGGACTCAGGCAGGGAAATAAAGTCTCGTAGGAAGCCCACGTTTAACTGTTCATGCGTCACGTCGTCCATGAAGATCTCATATCTAGGTATCACAGAACAAAAATACTAGTAGGTCATTTCCTTTTTTTATAGCTAAATAACCTAAATATTTATCATCTCCGGCTGTTGATACTAATACTATTTTGTGCAGAAAAAAAAGTAATCCAGAGTATACTTCAATTGTAAAAGAAGCATCATCATTGATCACCTGAATATGTTTATCTCCAGCATGGCCATGAATGTTTGTGTCTGCTGCTCACTCAGCCGAGCGCTGGCAGAGGAGCTGGCACTTAACTCTGATGATTGGATGGATGTGCCACTCTGACTGGATCCTCCTCCTCCTGCTGACCAGAGAAGTCCGAATAGTCCTCCCACTGCTCCGTGTCCAGAAGCCTTGTTGATCTCTTCCTGGAACATGGCCTTGGCAGAAGTGACGGCTGATTTCTCCGCAAGGTATTGCCTGTATTCTTCCGTTGAGCTGAAGGTGTAGGATTCTACATCTGTGTCGTATATGCCTAGCACGGTCATAGAGTCAGGGACTTCATTTTCACCGTACCTGTTTAAAGTTAAAAAGAAAATAAGTTACTGCGGTTCGCGTTGTACGAAGATTTGACGTTGCCGTTATATAAACAAACTGTAATGTAAATTCGGTCGTAATTCATGAAACCCGATTATTTTAAATGCATCAAGGTTGTGTACGATTGGGCATTAGGGCTACATTGGTTTCACGAATATTCCAGATTGCGATTGCACATACTTTTACCAGCAAACCGCGATCATTTTTTTCTCCAAAATACAAAAACGTTAGACACCCAGGTAGTATGATGCTCGGAAAAAACATTCGCTCAAGCAACTGGATATAAATTTGGATTTTGCAAAATTACATCAGTTGCTTGAGTAAATGTTTTTTGGCGTAAAATGTGTCTTACGTCTGCAGATTTTGGCATGATCTCTGGATGACACTTTTCTTCCTAGACTCGGCCGAGTACACGCCTCTTCCGTCGAAGCCAACGCCGAGGTAGGTTGCGCCGTCAATTAGGTTCTGCACATTGGGACCCCAAAAAGAGAGAAATGGAACAACATGGAAGGAAATGGAGCGACATTGAACGAAAAATGTATGTCAATGTATGTTGGAAAGTCGAAGCCGTTCGGACAGTCGGGCGGCGACGTCAGTTTTCGTTCGAGGTCCGATTGAAATTGATAATATTCTTAGAACCACATTGTTATATTCTACATCCATGGTTGAAAGATCGATCGGTGTACATTAAGAATGAAGTGTCCGCGATGTTATAAGATCGATCGAGGTACGTTAAGAAAAAAAAGGGTTTTCAGTTGAGTGGTAAAAGTGTGCTGACGTGTTTCTTTGTGGTCGAAGTGTGTTTTTTTCTACTACTATTAGATACAGTACAACTTTATTACCGTGTTTCTTTGGCTAATTTCCTCCCGAAAATCGCGCCATGGCGAGAAAAAGATCCGCCACTGTTTACATGCTTTGGACAATGCGCTATACTTTGGACAATACGCAAAAAACTGCTGCGAATTGCATGATATCATGACAGCAAAACGGAACCGAGTACCGGGTTTGAGTCCTGACATGTCATCGATGATGTACCGTTGGGAAAGGCACTTAACAATGCTTTCCTCACTTAACCCTCAAACACCCGAACTTTTTTTGCGATGGAAATTACGGAACGGGGTCCAAATGAACCCCATTCGGTTTCTTTTATATTTATATTCTCTTTTGCATTCTTTCAGTGATATTTGCACATATATTGGTTAAACATAGTAAGAGGTATATTTTGGCATGATTAAGTGTAACAATTCGAACTCATTATCATAATTTATGCAAAAAGGATAAGGCCTGCGCTGCAGGCATGAGCATGAAGTGGAGCTTTGAACTCATGTTATTGTCAAAGGTTTTTAACATCTGAAAACCTGATGACCTAATTCCTGAGGTTGAGGTTACTTAAAATTTTCTATTCTAGAAAAGCAAATAAGCACTGTTTGTAGTCGTGTCCTAATCTTTAACAATTTTCATGTTTCTGACATGCCAGAATCAGGGAAAATGACCCGAAAACATGTTTGTTCCGTAACCATGGTTTCGATCGGTGTGGAACAGAATGAAAGCTATTTTGATGGGTTGTGAACCAAGTACAAATTGATGTCCCCTGCCACAATTGTTTGATCCTGACATACATTATATTTGACAGCTTGTGGGTATATAAAAGTGCCCTTACGTGAGTCATCATTGACAAGTAAATCTTTAAATGACAAGGTCCCAAGATACTGGTTTGTTTTGATTATCAAAGAATGCAGAAAAAAGAATTTTTATGACCTGAACTTAAAGTGCTCATGACACCAAGATATGATAGTAACTAATTGTAATTTACATAACTTAGATATGACAGTAGCTAATTGTAATTTACATAACTAGTATTTCCTGGCTATCAGACACATTTGCAATAAATATGCACGGTTCTCCTGTTACATTTAAACTTTTAATGCCCTGCCTTGGAAAGTCAGCACAAGTCATTACTGGCAGGCAATTTGCATCTCTACATTTTATTTTTGCATGTCTATATTTTTTTCCTGAGCTGACGTCATCCAGTGATGTCAGCTCAGAAATGCAAAAGGACAGAGATGAAAAAAAAATAAAACATAGAGATGCAAATAGAAATGCCCGAAGTGGGCGATTGGGAACCTTGCTAGAGTCTCCACAAATTCACTTTTAGAAGGCTGTACAACCTCAATTTCGCAGTCATCATGATTGGAACAAACTTCAAGTGACTATATTGAATGTACACTTCCGATATTAGTATGTATTTTATTTGTTTGTATTTAGTTTGAAATTTTGTGTCATTTGGTATTTAATTGCTTTGTTTGCAAATTGATTTATGTTTAGCGCGATCTATTAGCCTTGAATGCACAGATAAAGTCTACTTTGATATCATACTGCATTTTAAAAATAATAAAAAAAACTTACCGGACAGCCTGTTCTTGGTATCTTTGCCTTGAAGCAGGGGTCTCCATTCTTATAGCCTGTCCCGAAGCAGCCGTTCATCAGAACTGGTCCTAGTCCGGCTGGGTAAGTATAGGCTGATGCCTGTCCGCCGGAACTGACCTTGTCTTCTTCCCTAGTAATTGATAATAAGTTATAACATTGTGTTACAAAAGTAAACTTTCTTTTACCAAAGAAGAATTATCAGAATTTTAAACGTTATAATTTTGCCTTTGTTGTTCATTGATTCGATATATGTTGGGGACAAAACGACTATTTTGGTTGCCAATTGTAACGACATATTTTATCAAGGATTGGAGTAGAGAATTGGGAGATACAACAGTTATTAACGAACCTGTCTTCCTTGTACTTGTACTTATGTCGGATCTCCCAGCCTGGTGGTGCATACATGTTACCCATCGTGGCTCCTGGTCTAGGAACAAGTTGAATGTCCGCCTAGTGAACAAACAAATGTTTGTAAAAAAATACCACTAGCCTTAGGAATGATCTGTGTATTTCTTAGTGCTAGTGTAATTTACACCTGTCCATTTGTAATGCTAAATTTGATGCTAAATATCATGTCCTTTCTTAGGCAGAATTAGGAATTATGTGTTTGAAGTAGCTTTTTATTAACAATTTCTCTTCTTAAAAAATTGTGTGGTGTCGGGTGGCGTAGTGGTAGAGCGTTCGACTATGAAGCAGGGAGACCCGGGTTCGATCCCGAGTTGTACCCGGGACATGTCCGGACATGTGCACCGACGTTGTGCCCTTGGAAAGGCACTTTACACACATTTCCTCACTCCACCCAGGATGAATGTGTACCTATCTTTGGCTGGGGAAAGTTTTTTTTTTTTAATTCCACCATGTAATCACCAGACGTGGTGACGGCACACTCAAGTTTTTTTTCAACTTATATTAATGCCGCCACCAACACAGGGGACAAATACATGATAGGACAATACTCATTTTCACCTGAGAGAAGTGAGGAAAGTCGTGTTAAGTGCCTTTCCCAGGGGCTCAAGATCGGTGGCATGTCAGGACTCGAACCCGGGACCTCTCGGCGCCGAATGGCAGCCGCACAGACCCTTGCGACAGTTTCACAAAAAATTGTGGAGCAAATATGTGTATCATGTGTATTATCTTATTGTGAATATCATGTGATACCCTGCATCAATTTAGCCGTATAAAGGCTGCGACTGCACGAGTACGGTTTGGCCAATAAACCATCAACCATTTAAATTTGTCTTAATGTCAAATGTATGAGAGACGCGCGCCCTTTATAACCCACCTCCTCCACCGGCCGGTTCAAACCCGCTGCCAGCCCACTGGTGTCCTTCAGCAGTTCTTTGTACTCATTATCAAACTTGTCCATCTGTTTCCCCAGGTAGTCCTGCAGACCGCTCACCACCTTCTCCTGGTGGTTCTCCACTACACCGTCCGCGATCCTGTCGCCAAGCTTGCTGACGACTTTTCCTCCTATCTCTTTCGCTGCTGCTGCCAGAAAGGCTGGAACTGCCCTTTTCGTCATTTTGTTGCCGACAGGAGAACTTTCTGCTTTGTGGTGGGATCCTACAATATACATATCAATAGTCATATTGCCATTTTGGGGATTGGGATGTCCAAAATGTAGTTAATATGCCGGTACACAGCATTTTGCATCCCACACAAATGCACATTGTAAACCAATTTGGACAAAACCTGCTCTTCTATCTAGTTGAATATTAAAATATGGCCGATGTAACATATTTTCTTTGGTATACAATAAAAAATAAGGACGATGGTTGTGTTGGCTCCTACTTTTTTTTTAATTTCTTTGTCGAGTAATAACTGTAATTACCTTTAGAACAGTAACTAATTGTTTATGAGAAAAGGAGATTTTGTATTTAAATGTAAACATTTATGTAAACAAGGATTCATTGTTCTGTGGACTTCAACCAAAAATATATTATTTAAAAAGGGCTTCCAATAATGCATGGGATAGTAACTTTTGCATATGCCTATTCAAAACTGTATAATTTGGAAGAAAATATGTTGTG